ACCTCTCCCACAAGTCTGCCCAACTTCTCTGCAGAGGTTACCTCCTCCACAACTGTCAGCAGAAAGGAAACAAACCCATGTTTCTGCTGCTGTGCTTCGGAGTCTGACGGCCCAGGACTGCAGGACTCCAAGGTACAGAAATGGAGGGAGAAGGTCATATACTTCCTCCACTCAGCTCTATTGCACACTGGTGTAGTTAGCCCAGATATAAGCACGGATCAAAAACTCACCATATTCCTAAGTAGATGTAAACTAGTAGATTATTACTTGCCCAAGACAAGGAAAGATTCAGAAAAGGATTAATACAATGCTCCTCAAGTCCTGCTTCAGCTCCAGTCCCTGCCTAACAACAATTATTTATGAGAACAGGTATCTGTTCCAGATCATAGATGTTGGTAGAGTGTCTGGCCTACATGCCACACGACGCTGATGCACAGAAGCGTACGAGAAAAGTAACTAGTCCGGTACAGACCATTGTAAGCTGTACTACTAATAGTTACATACAAAAAGGAAAAATCCTGTCTCTGTAGGGTGATATTAGCACAGTGATGCCAGCAAGCCTGTAGGCAGAGAAACGCTAGAGTACAGCTAGGATGTCACTTGAGGACACAAGCTGAGACTTAGACATGCAGAGAAATTCAGACAGTAGTTTACTGCAGAATTAAATAACCTGTCCTAAACTATTTCAGTATCCCTAAATGCACATTCACTACCACATTGGCTCAGATAAACATGGGTGCTCACTTTGAAATGAAAAGAACATCACTTCACTGCTGGAAATAACAGGAAAAATGTCCTTAGTGTTTGGTCCTTAAGTATTTTTAAGGACAGTTTGCTGAAGGGAGGGAACCCTGAACACCTCGCTCTGCCTAAATACCCATTCCCCCTTTGCTAAATAAAAGTCTTCTGGAAGCCACAACAGCTCCTGTAACTTTAAACCTGGGCTGAGATCATAATTTTTGTACTGACCAAACAGAGTGCGGAGGGCGGGCCTGGCTCTTCTTTGAGGACCACCTTAGGCATGCTCCCACCCCTTGGCTAAAGAAAATAATGCCGACTCCATTCAGTTTTCTTTAGCTGCATAGTTACCTCCAGGAAAACTTTCTCCCGTTAGACTACGGCAGTTAAAGGAATACTTGGAATACCAAAGTATTTTTGCAGTGATTTCTTTTTGTGATCTCAATTCTCCAGTTGCCAAAAAAAAAAGTCAATTAGAATTTGAATCCATCTGGTCTCAGGATTGGAAAGCTATTCTCTAAGCAGATCAAAGATGTTTATTAAAGTTCAATTCTTCATCTTCCTTCTAGGGAGCATGCCTTTCGTAGCACTTGCTGAAGAAGGTAAGAAACTTTGGTTAAAGTTCTTTCTACTAATTTCCTGTAATTTAACAGTTTGTTTGCTTTCTAATAAGCAATATAGTTGCTCTGACCTGTTTATAAAACTCTTATGAATTCTTAAGCTACTACTAAGCATCTATGGCTGTAATCAGGAAAAACACAAAAACCACAAAAGTTTTCAGATGGGCTTAGTTATACTCTATTAGAAACGGCTTTTCTCTGTGTGTCTGTGTGAGGGCAGGGGAACAGTACAAGCAGTCAGGGAAGGCATTGCATCAACAGCCCTTGGAAATGTCTTCAGTTTCACTGTAATACATGCAAAGGAGACTGCAAGCAATAATTTAGTTGTAAATGACATTTAGGTGGTGAAACTATGAAAGTAACTTGTAAATCTTCCCATTCAAGAGTTCAACTTCTATACTCGGAGACATTATAATAGCTTCGAATTTGAGCCTTATGCAGGGTTTTGCTGCTACTACCTAGCCATAAGCAATGTGCAAGTAAGGGAAACTAAACCAGGAAGAATTAGTACCTAAGATAGATGTGACAAGTGTTACATATCTACTCAGAAAAACTTTATTTGGCAAACTATTTCTTTTGAATTTTATGAGAAAAATACAAAATATACTTTTAGGTAAAACAGATGTTAAAATCTTTCTACAGCTAAAGGAGAAGAGCCAGATTTATTAACAGTAAATCACAATTACCTTGAGCAGTACTTGATTCCAGGAGCATCACATTAAAGTTCAGTCTTTCTGCGTAGTATTTGACTCCTTATGAATGAATTTGCCATCAGGCAATGTGCCTGATGTACACATAGACAGAAAGGATGTCTGTGGTGGTGAAATACAGCTACTGTTGCTACGGAACATGCTTCAAGTACTAGTGCTCTGAAAACAATTACCTGAACCTCAACCCACAAGTCTTCCAAAGCATAAATCTACTTGTCTGCCTTGGATTTGGGGACCTTAACTGAAACTAGGACCTGATTTTGGCCTGGTGACAATCAATAGCATTGTGCTGGAAATTATGGAGCTCTATCAATATACAGTATATGTGGACATTGGCTTGAAACTTCTAATGGGATTTCCTGGTATTCTGTATGTCAGAATATGAGGCTGAAATTTTGGAGTTAGGCTTCAAAATTTCACAGAAAAAATCTAAAATCAACAGATACTAGGCAAGTTCCAAATACTGCTTTCTACACTTTCTCTAGGATAGGCACCTACAGCTCACCCAGCTAGCTTATCCTTAAAAAGCAGCAATATTAAAAGCACCAAAGTTTGAAGCCATTAAAAATGAGGCAAAGCCACCACAATTTTATAGAATTACTTTAAGCAGTTTCTAGGTATTTCATCTTAAGGCTTTTGGGGAATTTTAAAGCCTATTTTCTCTCAATGCTGAGAGGAGTCGTCCAGCAACAGTCAGGTTGAAACCCTACCAGCCAGATAAATGTTAAAATATTTCCTGCTTGCAAGATTCTGCCTCTGTTTTATTACCAGTGTAGTCTGCATTGAACTCCACAGTTTGATCTAGACCATGGTTTACAATATTTACAGCTTTCTACTTCTGTTTAGGTTTTATGACTTTTTCTTCACATGGGGTCAGTCATTTCAGATGACTTCCAAAGGATACACTAGGAAAACAGACTCCAGATACAAAATAAGCAGGTCCCAAATATTTAGCACGTGTATCTTTTTTTACTGATAACCATCAGCAATTACAAGTTAGAACAGACTTAAAGTGACAGTGCCACCTTCCGCAATCTGTGACTGCACTGACAGTGAAGAGAGCAAATTGTTTTGGCTAGTATAGTACTAGGTGGAGCAGTTATATTCCGATACCTGAACCTCTGGGGTAGACAATTTGGCCTGAGGGTTTTAGTTTCCTTATCAGATTCTGATACCTCTTAAAGCCTGATCAGGTCATAAATCTGCAGCTACCCCTTTGTTCTATTTAGGCATTCCGTTTTCTGGATTGAGATGGAATCAAGAAAAGCAGGTTTGTTTTGATCAGGAAGCATATTTCCAAAAGGATTGTTTTGGTTCCAAATCCCTCCTTGAACTGCCAAATAAATTGAATTCAGCTGTTGATTCTGGTTGCAAGCATAGCATTTTTCCCCTTCCAGGGAGCGATCCACAATTTGAGTAGTATCATTACTATCTGCTGTCTTTCAGTTGCTCGAACTTTATGAAAAAGCCAGAGGCACAGGAACCATTTCAGGACAACTGTGAACCAGAAACTTGACTGAAAAATAGCAGTTACCACTGACCCAATAACAGGACTATCAGCCAACCTATGAACAACGTTTCAGTGAAAACCTATGAATCTTAAGTCAGAAATGCTTAAATGTGCTCTGCCCATAGAGAACATGCAAATTACGTCTAGCAAAAGTTCAAACTGAAGATTTCTGTTGAATTTCCTGGAGTTGTGCTACTCCTAACAGGAATTTTTGGACCCAGTCAGCAATGTGGTTTCCAAAACAAATGGTAAAAGCTCCTTTAATTGGGTCATGTAAAGCAAGACATAACAAAGCCGTAAAAGCATAAACCACAATATTTCTATGGAAGAGGAGAAAGTAATTAACTGATTTTGTTCTTCATATGTGAGCTTCCAAACAAAATTAATGGCGGAAATCACTAAGGATACAGAAAGAAAACCTCGTAACAAATCTTACATCACTGTAGCTAAAACACATTCACACATGCTCTATTAGTGTTACCTATTTGTGTTTTAAATTCTGACTGAAGCAGCCAACTTTCTTTGTCTTTCTTACAATCAAGGACAGCCCTGAGCACTACACAAGCTGATGATTTTTTAGACTGAAGCATTTCCTATTGAGTGATTAGCAGATATATATTTGTCCTTCTGTGATCCTGTTCAGCCTATAAAAACTCAGGCAAATCTTAGCACAATGGATCAGACCAAATGAGTGGAAATGGAAGTTGGCCTAAATTTTTTCTGGGCACAGCATTAATCAAACAATTAAAATCACAAGCATTCAAATGAGTGATTTGCAGAGGCACCACGTTTTCTAATGTGAAACCCTTCCCACGGTGCACCTATCATTGCAGAGGAGATTACTTTACCGGCTGTCACATAACATGAGCGAAAATTAAGATGATTGTTAAAACTAGTTACCACATGTCACTTGAGCTGTATCAACTGTCCATGTGTCTGATCTTACCTAGAGGCAAATACAAGATTATAACTCCTTATGCAAGTCTCAAAATCAAACAGGTTTACATTAGGTCATGTTACTTTATGTTGGTTTTGGACTAAAAGTAACCACATGGACAGGATAATTTAGATGAGAAGTGTTTATATGGTAAGAAAGGAAATTGAAATTTACAGTCAACCATGAAAGATTAAAGTTTTCTATGTTTTTCAAAATCATAAAAAACAGATTTGACAAATCACAAGAGAGGATTTTTTCAAAAGTATCTTAATTTACCCAAACTCTATTGCCAGTTCAGTGGCAAAACTAAATTATGAAGTCAGGCAACTCTAAACTCTTCTGAAAAATCAAATTCTGTAAAAGCTGATAGTAAATAAAATGAACAACCAAAACAAACAGCCACATGTGACTCCAAAAGCACGCCAGTTTTCTACCAGTATGACAAAACCTTTCACTGTGGACCTGGCTGCATCATGTACGTGCACGTGTCCCCACATCTGTCTCTTGGAAACTAGATTAGCATGATATGAATCTAGCTCTACATGTCCAATGCCCAAAACTTAATTATCACCAAACCGAGAAAAACATCTTGCTGGTTCTCAGTTAGTGGCTCTGCAAATTAGTGAGTCTGTACTTTGCGGTGCCTTAGTAAAAGACCAGCAGAGAACAGATGAAATTTGTTTTATCCTCTTCACTGTGAAAGCAGAGGCTTGCCCATCTGTATCTCAAAAGTTAGGTTTTGAATTTGTGTAACTTCATAAGCAAAAGAAAATCAGATTTAAAGCTCACAAGTGGACTTTTCATTAACTTAGGCTGCACAGTGAAAACTGGAAACAGAGAGGCAAGATTCTCAGCTCCTGTAATTCAACAGTTTCCACTGAACCCATGCATTTACCCCAGACCTAGTACTTGTAAATCATCTACAAAAAGAAGCAGCTGAGAACCTATAGAGATAAAAGAGCATTTTAATAGATAATAAAAAACAGTAAAGGAAGGCTAGCCCACAGCATGCAGGCTGTTGGGCTCTAACAGAAGCATGCAGTGTTTCCTCCTTGTGTCATTTGAGGCAAGCCACACATACACACGTACCACAGAAACGACTACTGTTTGCCCAGCTCTAACATATGGTCCGTCTCAGTTGCACACTTGTTTTGTTGGTTTGTTTGCTTTTTGTCTGGATGTGGTCAGGGACTACAGGATGGAACCCAAATGCTGCCAGGTCCTACTATTCACTGCATCCCAGATCCACGGACAGGCAGCCTCTAGATGGGCCTTCTCCGATTTGTGTGCGCACATACCATACTCTCAGTCTGAAATAATGCTGCAGCAAAGCTCACATAGCTGTGTGGAGCACAACTTGCTAAACAGCATTTCAGAAAAAGATGTAGGATTGGGAGTATAGTTCTGAAGAGAAACAAACAAGAAAAATAAGAGACAAATTTACTATTGATTTCCAACTCAGTGTCTCAGAAGCCTGGCCAAAGACTCTCAAAGGAATAGAAACTGTGATGCTGTGCGCATTCTCCTATTGCTTTATGACTTCCTCGTGTTTTTCCATTTTTGTATTTGTTGATCACAAACACTACAACATCCAGCATAAATTGCATCAGACTAATTCTTTGTGAGGGCACAATTCAGCCATGTACACCACTTCAGGGGAACATATACTCTCTTAGGAGGGCTTGAGAAGTATATGAGCTGCTGCTAAATCTGTAAAGGGACACGCTCAATTCAAAATGCATATTAAAATGTTTTTATGACTGAATCCCATCCAAACATTAGCTAGTATGTTATTAGTATGCAAGTCAGACTAAACATATTTGAA